CAGGGGGCACCGGCTGGCGCGAAGCTGAGGAAGGGGCCGTCCCCGTCGTAGAATTGTAGAATCCTTTTTGTTGGAAGAGACCTTGAAGATCAACCAGCCCAACCTTTACCCTAACACTGCCAAGTCCACCACTAAACCACGTCCCTCAGCGCCACATCTAAACGTCTTTCAGATACCTCCAGGGATGGCGACTCCACCACTTCCCCGGGCAGCCTGTTCCAGTGCTTCACAATCCTTTCAGTGAAGAAACTTTTCCTAATATCTGGTGCAGGGGCAAGGGAGAGTCACTCAGGGAGCCACTCTCTGCTTGTGGAGTGTTGAAATCACGATTCGCGTACTTCATAACATCTGGGAGGACTGATGAGCTGTCTTAAGCTAAAACTCCATCAGCTTTTCTCTGAGCAGCACCTCAGCAAAGGGGAAAAAAAAACCAAACAAAACACAAACCTGCCCCTGCCTTTCAATGATTTGTGTTGTAGACCTGCCACGCTCGCTGCTGTCAGAGAACAGTGATCAGCGTTACTGTGAGGGTGGTGAGGCACTGGAACAGGTTGCCCAGAGAAGCTGTGGGGCCCCATCCCTGGAGGTGTTCAAGGCCAGGCTGGACGTGGCCTTGGGCAACCTGGTCTAGTGGGAGGTGTCCCTGCCCATGGCAGGGGGGTTGGAACTCGATGATCTTTAAGGTCCCTTCCAATCCAAACCATTCTGTGATTCTATTGTGTGTATCTGTTTTTTCCCAGCCTTGGTGCTAAAGCAGACCATATATGAACTAGCAAGAAGGCAGCAAAAGTAATTTAAAAGGAATAAAAGTGTTTTGTTTAGGTTTTTTGTTGTTGTTGTTCTGGTTTGGAATTGGCTAAACTCACTTCCCCACATTAGTTTGTAACCTGCATTCAAGAAGGATCAATACATCAATGCTTACTGGTCTAATTTGATGTACGTATTACTCATATGTATTTGGTACGGCTTATTCTTTTACAGGCTTGTCTACACAAAACTGTGGAAACGGAACAGAGCTCTTCTGGCTGTGATCCAAACCACCAAGGTGCAAAGCAGCTCTTGTCCAGAACTGGGGTAGCTCAGTGCAGCGCTATGCGTGAGCCAACAAGCCCTATGTAGGGCCTGGGCCAGTAAACGGCTCTAACTTAACTACTTGGTTTCTTGGTCTGAACTGATGACTTGTGTTTGACTGCTCAGCTCTCAGACAACACAACTCTGTAAAGGTGTCTTTGGCTTTTTTTTAAAATGTTGTTAGATCAAGGACTTTGCATCATTTTCTGTTTTCGGGAAGATTTCTGACCTCTTTTGCACAAAGCATCTTTTGCACAATTTTGAAACCTAGATATAAGATAAAGGACAGCATTTGTTGTCCTTTGGAACCCAGACATAAGATAAAGGACAATATTTGTTGTCCTTTGGAGTCCTATGGAGTTAACCATGTTTATTAAAAAAGAAAATTGCTAGAACTGCAACTATAACCCTAGATAACGATGTGACTCTCTATTCCTAGCTCTTCAGGAAATTGGTTTCCAACACAGTCTCATATTTTCTAAAATGACATCTTACATAACATCAAGTGTTACAGGAGAGAACTGAAGGCTTAAATCTGCCATGGTACAAAGACATCTAAATGATGGTGTAGACTTGAAATAAATGCTAGTCATTCTTGATCAAAGTGGTTTAGAGCACACTTGAGACTCCTTGGGTTTTTCCTCCTAAAATTTTCATTTTCTTACAATATCTTTCATTCTTTTTCAGGTCATTTGTTTTCCCTTCGCTTCTCAGTACCCAGATTCTAAGCCTTTGGCAACAATTATTGTTTTCTGTAACATTTTGGTAGAGTACCGAGATCAGGTGGGGTTGCAGTCTCCCCAGGACTGTACGGTGGTACAGGAGGAGACTTCTGTATCATATGAGCTGAAGCATGCACCAGACAAAGTGTCAGTAATACCAGAGAGAGAGAAGTGCATTCCTTTGCCCTCTTCCTCCTGCTGCCTTCTACTTGAAGCTCTTTCCTCCTTCAGAATTGTTAATTCCCACTCATTGACTATTTTATGAACTTTACCATAATACAAATTATCTACGTCATCACCATCTACTGATAGGAATCTGCAATTCGCATCAGATATTAACCAGAAGCACATGCACATTTGGATGCACTCGTGGTTTATAATTTGGTGTGGTCAGCCAAGTCTGCATCACTTAATTTCAAAGGCTGTCTGTCTTCTCCAATGCAATAACGGACCAGGCTTCCTGGGGATGTCATTTTCTGATTCAAAGCAGAGTAAGTAGCAGAAATTAATGACGAATTTTACAGATTTTAACTTCACATTGAAAAAGAAAACAAATTTGGTATAAAAGATGGTTGCAAAAATAGCAGTTTAAAAATAACTTTCTACACAGATTGGACAAATGGTGGGAACTCTGCAATGCCTTTCTGCAGACAGAAGTCCTATTCCCAATCTACCACTCTCTTTTCCTGCTTTCATTTTGTTTTCACTAGAGAAGCAGCATTAGTGGGTAGTGCTAGTGACAACACTGTCTATTTCTCCCACTTCTCCTCTTCAGGTGCTTCCAGTTTAAACACGGCAACCACATGCTCTGCTTCTGGGTCCTGTGCTGGGCAAACAGAATGCGTGTTGTGATAGTTTTAATTTAACACAATTGAAAAGCTCTAGCATGTTGCAGACTAACATCTTTGAAGACACCTAGAGGAGATCTTCAAAAATGATAGCCTGGAGCTTAATTGTGCTTTTTAATTACGTTAAGACAATTTGAATGAGCCAGCGTGATAGATTGCAACCACACCTTTGGCATGCCAACACATACTTCTGAGGGAGCACTCTAAATGTGCAATGCACAGCACTAGAATATTTGGCATACTATCATTTTCAGCCCATGTGATGCATTCAGGAAAGCAATAGCCCATCACCCAAAACAAATGTCCCTCACATCTGTAATGCAGGAGCAGGACCGCTGGCCATGGCAGTTTCTAGACAGCTACTGCTGTTTAGCTCTACCTTACGTCTGAAAGGCATTTGAAGTATAAGGATAGAGGGTGAGAGTAATGCCTAATGGACTATATTTCGAACTTTATAACTTTGTCAGTGATCAAGGGGAAGGAAGTGATTCATATCCTCACAGCATTATGAACGTGTCAATCTGTTCCTCCTCATACTGCTTCCAGACTTCACTCAAGGATGCGACACCTTCTGCTCCTTTGTCCGTGATCTCCCACAAGCTTGGGTTCTGTGACTGGCAACAGGTTCCCACACAGGAGGTAAACCATTTTTCCCTCATCAAGCTTGTCGCCTTTGTCTTTCCTATTTGAAGCACCTTTCGTAGGAGAAAACTCCTATCCAGCACAGTGCTGCTCCAAAACTCTCAGTCCTTTCTCTAAGCTAATGTCCTAATGTCCACCTCCTGACAGCGACAATGCTCCTGAGAAAGACAGCTGTTTTGAGCCTTTATGTGTAGCTGGGCCTTTGACCACGGGTGCTGGCCTCTTAGCTTTGATGAGAATGATATGAAATGTACTAATGAGTAAGCACATCTTATTCTACCCGCACCACAGCTTGTCTGAAGAGGCTGTCAGTCATCCTCAAGTTTGATGGACTAGTTAGCACCTGCTCTTACCTTCCAGCTAAGGTGCCTGTGTTCCCTGGTCTGTTTAAAACAAAACGAGATGGGTAACACTTAAACAGTTTAAATAATGCTTTTGCTAATCTGGTCTTCTTGACTGGCGTAAGGTCAGTGATGGGGACAGAAACCTTTTCCACTAGAAGAAACCTTATGTCTAACCCTTAAGAAACAGGTGGTTATGGTTGTTGCGTATATGCTGTTGAGGCATATGCAGCAAAGCAGATGCCATCTAACAAGTCAAAACTTGTGTGCTGCGGAGAGGAGCCTAACAGTTTCTGGCCACAAAGAACAGTTGGTCTAGGAAACGCTAGCTGCAGGGAGAACAGGGAAAAACTGGTAAAGGCCAGCTGATGGGATCAGAGGGCTTTTCAGTGAGTTTTGATAATG